GCACTTCGATTGGGGTGGAATTGATTTAGGGCAAAGTTACCCAAAAATAGAATATTTTTTTTAATATTAGTTGAAATTTGAACTGTCCGATTTTTATAAACCGCCCGGTTCACGGGTTTCGGCTAAAATTAGCCGGTTTAGCAATTTAAATGTGGTTTGATTGCATATACGGTCTAACTCAAGAAACAATCGGTTTAGGGTGCAATTCACGGTCGAACCGGCCAGTTCGGTCCGGTTCTGATAACACTGGTTTATATACTTGATAGACCACTCCACCAATTGGCAATTGGTTTTAGGTTTGATACTCTAACATGGTATCATAGCTAAGTCATGGGGGTATTTCTTTCCCATTTGAATTTTTTGATATGTATGGTTGTTTGTTTATTTATTAGCTCCACGTTTGAGCCTTGGAGGATGTGAAGAGAGTTTATATCCTACATCGAATAATTAGATCACCGAAGGTTAGTTTATGTACTTGAGGGTTCACTTCACCCATCGCTAATTGATTTTGGGTTGGATGCTCTAATGACTACCTTGTGCCCATGCCCATGTTGATGAGATTTTGTTTGGTTNATATCTATACAGTATATATATACACATCTATCATCTTAGCCTTATATGACCCACCTACAAAAGAATATTTCAGCCTCATACCTCCATCTCAAGCAATCCCCTAAGAAATTACGCCTTAGCCACCACGATTCAAAGACCCAAAGCACAAATCAAAGAAACCTAAGGAAATCTTAGTGCAAACCGAACGGCTCTAAAGTGTAGTATCGATAGAATTCAATGCCACCAATCCTTTGTCCCTGAGTGAGAGAGGGAAGGAGAGGTAGATAATAGAGATTCTGTGGAGAAGGACCAAGGATCGAGCAGAGGAGAGGAGAGGACGTCACTTGGAGAAGAGGAGGAACGAAGCACTTCGATTGAGGTGGAATTGATTTAGGGCAAAGTTACCCAAAAATAGAATATTTTTTTTAATATTAGTTGAAATTTGAACTGTCCGGTTTTTATAAACCGCCCGGTTCACGGGTTTCGGCTAAAATTAGCCGGTTTAGCAATTTAAATGTGGTTTGATTGCATATACGGTCTAACTCAAGAAACAATCGGTTTAGGGTGCAATTCACGGTCGAACCGGCCAGTTCGGTCCGGTTCTGATAACACTGGTTTATATACTTGATAGACCACTCCACCAATTGGCAATTGGTTTTAGGTTTGATACTCTAACATGGTATCATAGCTAAGTCATGGGGGTATTTCTTTCCCATTTGAATTTTTTGATATGTATGGTTGTTTGTTTATTTATTAGCTCCACGTTTGAGCCTTGGAGGATGTGAAGGGAGTTTATATCCTACATCGAATAATTAGATCACCGAAGGTTAGTTTATGTACTTGAGGGTTCACTTCACCCATCGCTAATTGATTTTGGGTTGGATGCTCTAACGACTACCTTGTGCCCATGCCCATGTTGATGAGATTTTGTTTGGTTATNGATTCTGTGGAGAAGGACCAAGGATCGAGCAGAGGAGAGGAGAGGACGTCACTTGGGGAAGAAGAGGAACGAAGCACTTCGATTGGGGTGGAATTGATTTAGGGCAAAGTTACCCAAAAATAGAATATTTTTTTTAATATTAGTTGAAATTTGAACTGTCCGATTTTTATAAACCGCCCGGTTCACGGGTTTCGGCTAAAATTAGCCGGTTTAGCAATTTAAATGTGGTTTGATTGCATATACGGTCTAACTCAAGAAACAATCGGTTTAGGGTGCAATTCACGGTCGAACCGGCCAGTTCGGTCCGGTTCTGATAACACTGGTTTATATACTTGATAGACCACTCCACCAATTGACAATTGGTTTTAGGTTTGATACTCTAACATGGTATCATAGCTAAGTCATGGGGGGTATTTCTTTCCCATTTGAATTTTTTGATATGTATGGTTGTTTGTTTATTTATTAGCTCCACGTTTGAGCCTTGGAGGATGTGAAGAGAGTTTATATCCTACATCGAATAATTAGATCACCGAAGGTTAGTTTATGTACTTGAGGGTTCACTTCACCCATCGCTAATTGATTTTGGGTTGGATGCTCTAACGACTACCTTGTGCCCATGCCCATGTTGATGAGATTTTGTTTGGTTATGAGCCTTATGGCCAGGTAGGACGGAGCGCATTTCTCAAAGGTGACCTCATATGTACTTTTGTGGTCTGTATATTTCTAAAAGGAAACCGAATGGTTGCATTTCCAGCATCCCTCTTTCAGGGTTTGAGCTTGTTTTGCTGTCTTGATTTGGCTGTAGAGATTTCAAATGTGGTTGCCTATGTGACCATGAGTGACTGATATGTCATTAAAACTGTTGTCTTACTTCTCATCATACTTATGATATGAGTAGTTTAGATTTTTAGCATGCATAGCCAGGTTTTTACGCTGTTTTACGTTTAGTTGTCTCAAAATGAGGGGGGGAACATGTAGAAAGCTAAGAGTGGACAAATGAAGTCCTTGAAACTTTTTTCATGCGCAAGTGAAGTCCTAATACAATGACTGTCCTTGTCTTTCTTGATTATGATTTTTTTCCGGAAAGTAACTATCATTAATACAACATCTGTTTAATTAATTTTCTTGGGAGACTTCACATTTCCGGATATTATTGGATATTCAGCCAAATGGTTTAATAAATTAATCAACTTGTATAATTTTATTAGCTCTTTCCCAAAAAATAGACAATACAAAATTTATAACTTTACTTTCTCTAAACCTCTTCATTACTGAAATACTTGGTTACTTTTGATTGGGTTAATGCAATGTCCTAACCAATCATAGAGTATCACTGTTATTGTTATTACTATCAAGTGGAAAAGAGACATAATGACCATCATAAAAAATATTCATGCGGTCTATTTCCATTATGTATAACCATTTCTGCTAANTTCTCTAAACCTCTTCATTACTGAAATACTTGGTTACTTTTGATTGGGTTAATGCAGTGTCCTAACCAATCATAGAGTATCACTGTTATTGTTATTACTATCAAGTGGAAAAGAGACATAAAAACCATCATAAAAAATGTTCATGCGGTCTATTTCCATTATGTATAACCATTTCTGCTAAATAAACTACTATGCCCTCTGTCTTTGTATCCTGTAAAAGTAAAGATAGAACTCTTGACTCGTGCATCTGAGAAAGGAACAAGTGTCCTTGAATAGTTGGTCTATTCTTAGGATTTTGATTTGATTGTTAGTTTGTCACGAAGAGAATCAATTGGAGTACCCAGGCTGAAGTTGCAATATGATCAGTGAACTCAATTATCCTGACTGTCCTGGTGGACAAAAGTTTGTGTTATTTATTTACTTGTAATAAACATATGTAGCACATTATACTGTATTTGGGATAGTAAATTATAGTGCTGCCTTCCTACAAAATATTGTAAATATTTAGAAGAGAGAAATAAATCATTTCTTTCTTTACCTATTGTTTCCGGATTATTTGAACTGCAATTGCAAACAAGTAAATGGAAAACAATGTCATCATTTTAGATACCCAGAGATACATTTATATAGGATAAAGTTAGGATACATTTGTCTTCTAAATTCTATTATGGGAGCAGGGTTGTTGGTTTTTTTTGGGGTCGAGTTGGATATGGGGAGTTTTTTTTTTTTTTGGGGTGGGGGGCAATTAATACTCACGCCTTGGATTATTATTTGACTACCCATCCCACAAGGCATCGGTAGGCTGTTAGTCATCAGTCTAGGGCTGTTAAACGATCCGGGTAGCTTGAGCTCAGCTTGTTTTTGGCTCGCTTGGGCTTGCTCATTTTGTAAAATGAGCTGAATCTGGACAAAATTTTAGGTTCGTTTTTAAACCAAGCCGAGCCTGAGTAGGTATCTATTTTTTCCCTACATATACTCCTTCTAGAAGACCCTCCCTTGTATTTTAATGCTTCCCTTTCTTAAATTCCCATCCCCACCCCCCCGGCAAAAAAAAAAAAGCTCAGTCACACATCAGTACCAGACCACTCCCCAAAAATTATTCAACCTAATCCCTTTCCCCATTTTTCAGTCAGCCCCTTTTCCGCTAATCCTTAATTTATCAACAAAAATAGTCACCAACAGCTCTCTCTCTCTCTCTCTCTCTCTCTGAAACCCTCGACCAACCATTGGCTCCTCTCACAACCCAACTCCACTGGTCCACCACCAGACCCTTCGTCTCCCACTCTCTTTTCAACGATCACTCCGTCTCCCTATGTCTCTGTAACACTCACTTCTCTCTGTCTTTTAGAAGCCCTTGAAACCCTAACCTCTGAAAACCCTGAATTTTGCAACAGTTGAAACCCTAACCTTTCTATTTGATCTCTTAGATAGTGAGCCTTCTCTAAGTTCTCTCTCAGATTATCTCTACTGGTTTTTGGAAATATTTGTTTGATGGTTACAGAATTGCAGAGTGTGATTTTTCTTTTAAGTGTTCAGAAATGAGCTTGAGTTTGAGTCTAAGCTCAAATTTGAGCTCGTTTGAAAAACGAGCCTAAGAGAGTCAAGCTTGAGCATGGCATTTTTCGCTCAAGATTGAGCTAAAAATAGGACTCAAGGTTTGAACCTGAGCCAAATCTGACCATATTCACAAATACCCAAGCCGAGCCTGACCACTGTCAAGTTCGTTGGGCTCGGCTTGATTATCTCCCCAGGTCATCACTGGAATCATTTTAATTCTTCGTCGTGAAGACAAAGTATCTTCTTCATAAAAGGACTACACTTTCTTCGTTTTTCGATTTTCCTCTGATATTCAAGGATTTTAGGGATTAATTACTCTTTGACAAGATGCTTTTTTATAGGACAGCGGATATATTGTAATGGTGATTTGCCTATTTTGTATGTTTCGGATTAGTGACCATTTTTTACTTTTCTTTGATTTATAATCTGATCTGTAATTGTAAGTATTCTTTCATGCAAATTGTTTGGTTGTTTTTGGTTGCCATGCCTCATACTTGTCATGGGTATAGTTCAAGATAATGTCTGCCACTCGAGGAATGGGAGCTTTGAAAGGACTTCCTGTGCATATTTCGTGCATTCTTGAATTGTTCAACAACTTCTGATGTATCATTTTTTTTTTTCCTCCGTGTATAGTTCACTCCCAAAAAAGGTGGGACCCCTAGGAGGAATGAGATTGTTTTCATTGCGCCTACTGGTGAGGAGATCAGGAGTAAGAGACAGTTGGACCAATATCTGAAATCTCACCCCGGAGGACCTTCGACTTCGGTTTTTGACTGGGGCACAGGTATATTCTTACTCTCCAACTCTCTGGAAGCATAGATGAATAGATGGCTGAATCTCTTAGGAGTGGACTTTGTTGAGTAGAGTCTATTACTCAAATGGATGCCTGTAATGAGCTAAAATGATTTGAATCTACCACTACACACCTGCATTCAGGTGACACTCCAAGACGTTCTGCGAGACTAACTGTGAAATCAAAAGCAACGGAGTCACCAGAAAGTGAGACTCCCCAGAAAAAGCAAAGGAAATCAAGTTCAAAGAAGGGAGCAAAGGAGGAGGAGGAGGAGGAGGAGGAGGATGCTGATAAGGAAGGTGAGGCTGCTGAAGACAAGGAAGATGCTGTGGCAGAAACCAAAGAAAGTACAGAAGTTCCTATGGAAGATACAGAGAATCCTGGGGACCATAAGGAAGGAGATCTGATTGACGAGGAAGTCCCCGGAGATAAAGCTAATGTGGAGGAAGCTGATAAGAAGAACGAAGGCGGGATTGTGGTTACCGAGGAAGCTCCCACAGCTGAAGATAATGTGAAGGAGGCAGTGTTGAACGCAAAAGAAAATATCAATGAGATGAGCATAGATGAACCGGAGAATCAGAAAACCAGCAATGAGACTTCTGATACAAAGGAGGATGAATCTGATAACAAATCACTGCCGACTCCGGGGCTCATGGATAATAACAAGGAAGCCGAGAATAATCTGGGGGAGGCTGAAGCTCCGTCCCAGTTAGCTTTGCCCAATGAGGCTGCATTTTCTGTGCAGGAAGTGGAAACTGTAAAAGACGCAATTCCTGTGGTGGCAGATGCAACGATTGAAAAGGCATCCAAGGATGCCAAAGTAGGACAACAGGGCCAAGCTGACAATGAGATTCCGGCAGAGCCAGTGGCGAGTGCAGAAGCAGCTAAACCAGATGACAGGGAGAAGGAAAACCAACAAACAGACGATCATGCAGTGAGTTGCAAGGAGGCACCACATGAGCCCAAGACGTCTCAAGTTAGCTGCTGAAATTTTTACAGGGGTCTTGTTGTACTCATAAATTTATTGCCGTAACCTTTTTTGTTCCTCCAGTTAGATTATCTGACAGTCGCTGATAAATCTGTTCTGCAAATTGCCATTAGGATTTCATGCAGAGTTTGATTGGTATCATCAGTTGTTTATTACATACTGTGATAAAACTTTCTTAGTCCGTTGACTCTCAATACTTAACATCAGTACTTAGCTGTAATCTCAATTCTCTGTTTAAGGCTATTGTCTAGCTCTATATAATTTTCTCGTGTTGATGCCTTGTATGTTTCAGCTCTACTGATTGCAGATATACTTGATGGATTCCCAATTCTCAGACGTAAACTTGCATCTCTAGTTGTGAAAGACTCCCGAGTCCAGGGGCAGAGTGCATTGGTGCTGTTGATTATACATTTTTGTACCACCCGAAGTGTGTATTCTTTAGGGTTTTGAAGCTACAGAAGCACATCACATTCTTCGGGAGCTTTGGAACAATGCTATTTGAGGATACTGGAATAGGTAATGGCCTCGTGTTTCGTGTGGATTCACAGCAGCAACCTCANTTCTTCGGGAGCTTTGGAACAATGCTATTTGAGGATACTGGAATAGGTAATGGCCTCATGTTTCGTGTGGATTCACAGCAGCAACCTCAAGAGCACAAGCATCCCGGGTATTGTTGATGCTGTAATGGTGGCCCTTGCAGGACCCTTCTTTTATGACTTTCTTGCTAATGCTAACACCTTTGTTCTTTATTTCCATGACTTATCATGAGAGTTTATTTTGCACGTCTACAAGAAAGTAGAGATTTAAAACAGGATACCACTTCAACTGGAATTACCTCGAGCACCGATGCCACCTTCTTCCACAGCATCAAACATTGCAGAGTTCAACCATAACATGCATATGGAAGAGAAGACAGCACAATACACTAATGAAGCAATGTTCATAATCGTAACCAGGCTAAAGACTTAAAATTTATAAAAATAAGATCAATTAGAAGTCTTCAATTACAAAGCTTATGTGATGATATAATGTTTGCTTAGATGCAACACATACAACAGATACTACTATTAAGATACTTGATCAAGTCCTGCCCTTTGTGGAGCACTAGTGATATCAAAATAAACATTTTTCCACCAAAAAATGCCGCCCTCACTGCTGAGCGCATTGTACCCTTTGAGCTCCACCAGGCATGTCTTCATCTTCACTGTATGCCTCCTGCGCCTGGGCTTGCTTCCTACGCATCTCCTCCTCAATGTTGACATCATGCAATGTGGTCTCCTCACACTCGTCTAGCTCGATATCCGTCAGCTGTGACACCGGCTTTGGTTGTAGGACAGCCTCGAGCACCTTGACCTGTTCTGGGCTCAGATTGTCGGGGAAGTCCACAGTGAAATGAAGATACAGCTTTCCCTTCATGAATGGCCTCTGGTACATGGGCATGCCCTCATCATTGATTGCCTTAAATGAATCTGCAAGTTTTACGTCAATGCAGAAACCTTAGGTATAACTCAATAACTAACATAGTGTGTGATTTCAGAGAAAGTCATTCAATTACTAACCAGGCTTGACAACTTCTCCTGGGTTTGACTTGATAAGAAGCTGCCTGCCGTCCAAGTGAGTCAAGATGAACTGGAAGCCACACAGAGCCTCAGTAAGACATAAGGTGTGCTCTACAAAGAGGTCATCACCTTTTCTCTTAAACTTCAGATGCTCTTTCTGCTGGAGGACAAATACTATATCACCTGTAACTGTATCAGGCTGCAAAGAACATAAATTGAATAAGAACCCTATCAAATTCCTCATATGGGTGTTGGATCAAATAGGCAGACAAACAAGAGTAAGTCAGAAAACAACATACCGCTTCGTCTGCCTCTCCAGGGAAAGTAATCTTCTGTCCATTCTGCATGCCTTTCTCCACGTGAACTTCCAATACCTTCTTCTCCGGAACAACCTTTTCACCTTTACACTGAGGGCAGCGGTCTTTATCACTGATGGTCTCGCCAGTACCCTTGCATTCATTGCAAGGTTGCTGCATTTGCTGGATCATGGAGGGGCCAAGTTGTCTAATTGAAACCTTCATACCAGTTCCTTGACAACCAGAGCACTTCATTGAAGCACCAGATTTTGATCCTTTCCTGTAATCAAAACCACATAATCATTTCAAGATACAAATAACAACCAAGGACAGTGCAGAATAACAAAGAGCCAAAGTTACTTACCCATCACACTTGGAGCAAATAACGTTGCGGGATAAAGAAAGCTTCTTCGATGTCCCAATGTACAAATCCTCCAGAGAGACTTTCAAAGGATGGACCACATCCTCTCCCCTTCTCTGCCTTCGTCCCCTACTGCTACCACCACCTGGTCATCACAATATAATTCACAAATCACAATACCCTTGTCTTTGAATGATGGAATAACCAATCAAACTGGCTAAATCACGGCGAGAACATGTAACTGTTGACATATCTTACCTCCAAATGGGCTTCCACCAAAGAAGGATTGGAATATGTCAAATGGGTCGTGCATGCCACCACCACCACCCATTCCTTCCTTGAGTGCATCCTCACCATACTGATCATAGATCTCCCGCTTCTCAGGATCACTCAGAACCTCATAAGCTTGAGCAAGCTCCTTAAACTGCAGCCAAAATATAATAAAACATATTTTAAATTCTACTGCGATAAAAAAACAATAATAACTACACCAGAAAAATTAGAACTGAAAATTTGCCACTATATATGAAGTCCCCCTTTTTCAGAAAGTCCATGCATCCCAAAAACTTCCTTTCCTGGTTTTCAGCAATCATATACACAAAATAATTACGAGAAATCATCTCAAAATTAATAACAAGCCTCTAATCTCGAACCACTACCGTGACTCATGACTCTATCTCAAGCATGTCTGCATGTTACAGGCTATTATTCCAGTACCATACTGCTTGTGTGGAAAATCTTTGGCAATCAGAATCTAAAACAAAATTTACCAGCTTGTCGTATAGGCATCTTTGAAACTTATAGTAGAACAAACTCATTAATATGTGTTCAAATAAAGGTTTCCACGATCCCAGCCAGTGATTCCAAATTGGCACTTGGTTCTATTTCCATGGCACTATATTTAGAGCCAAGAGTTTATGTTTGGGGGTGGACAAAAAAGGATCAGCTTAAGATGACTTAATTAACTCCCCCAATTAGAATTGGTAGAACTATACGTCACAATTATATTCTCAGAAATGTGTAATTAAATTTATCCTTTTCCTAGACTATCATGGCTTCTTTTTTCAATCATACACCATTTCTTAAATATCTAGAACTTCTTTCTTTCTTTACCACCAAAAATACAACCCCTTCACATAAATTTCAAAGCATATGGCACCAACATTGGCATGCACTGTCAGACAAGGAGGTGTTTGGCCTTTCAAATTTCTTTTCTGTCTATCATCGAATTCGCCATCAACATTAAATGAAAATTACATAAAACAATTTTATTGTATGCACTGTTTTCTGCATTAATTTTTCATCGCGGCATTAAGAAATGTTTTGTCAATTGGCCATACCTCTCTCCCTCTCTCACACACACCCACTCACTCACACACACCCACCCACTCACATGGACCATTTTGATGATGAGTTCGAATTGGATGCAAGCCTCTTTGTCCATCCATCACAACACCCTCGATTAACACGGAAACACACTCTCTCTCTTTCTCTCACCAAATTGAACCAATCTCAGAAAAATAACTAAGATAAAGACAAAAAAAAACAACCATAGATCCACCTCGTCACTTAACCCAGACAATCTCAATTGCAAAAATCTCAAACCCACTTTCACAAATGAGAATAAACAAAAAGGCATAGACATATACGCATACAAATAACAACTCAAAAGATTCAACAATTCAGAAGCAGAACTAACTAACCTTCTCCGGATCACCACCCTTATCAGGATGATTCTTGATGGCCGCCTTACGGTAAGCCTTCTTCAGATCCTCCGGCGTTGCGTTCTTCGACACCCCCAATATCTCATAATACTTCGTATTGTCACTCTTCTTCGGCGCCCTCCCAAACATCTTTCCAATTCACCAACCAAAATGANTATATTTAGAGCCAAGAGTTTATGTTTGGGGGTGGACAAAAAAGGATCAGCTTAAGATGACTTAATTAACTCCCCCAATTAGAATTGGTAGAACTATACGTCACAATTATATTCTCAGAAATGTGTAATTAAATTTATCCTTTTCCTAGACTATCATGGCTTCTTTTTTCAATCATACACCATTTCTTAAATATCTAGAACTTCTTTCTTTCTTTACCACCAAAAATACAACCCCTTCACATAAATTTCAAAGCATATGGCACCAACATTGGCATGCACTGTCAGACAAGGAGGTGTTTGGCCTTTCAAATTTCTTTTCTGTCTATCATCGAATTCGCCATCAACATTAAATGAAAATTACATAAAACAATTTTATTGTATGCACTGTTTTCTGCATTAATTTTTCATCGCGGCATTAAGAAATGTTTTGTCAATTGGCCATACCTCTCTCCCTCTCTCACACACACCCACTCACTCACACACACCCACCCACTCACATGGACCATTTTGATGATGAGTTCGAATTGGATGCAAGCCTCTTTGTCCATCCATCACAACACCCTCGATTAACACGGAAACACACTCTCTCTCTTTCTCTCACCAAATTGAACCAATCTCAGAAAAATAACTAAGATAAAGACAAAAAAAAACAACCATAGATCCACCTCGTCACTTAACCCAGACAATCTCAATTGCAAAAATCTCAAACCCACTTTCACAAATGAGAATAAACAAAAAGGCATAGACATATACGCATACAAATAACAACTCAAAAGATTCAACAATTCAGAAGCAGAACTAACTAACCTTCTCCGGATCACCACCCTTATCAGGATGATTCTTGATGGCCGCCTTACGGTAAGCCTTCTTCAGATCCTCCGGCGTTGCGTTCTTCGACACCCCCAATATCTCATAATACTTCGTATTGTCACTCTTCTTCGGCGCCCTCCCAAACATCTTTCCAATTCACCAACCAAAATGAATCCCCTAGCTCGCTAGATCAATCGCAAATTGTTCGTACAGTCGTCGTCGTCGTCGTGGGTGTGTGTGTGAGAGAGAGAGAGCAACGAAACCCCAAGGGAGCGGAAGTTGTGTATCAATATATAGAGGGCAAATTCCATTTTGCTTCCTAAAGATTAAAAAAAACTTAGTTTGTGTCGAATGATTAATTTTTTTATATTATTCATTAAAGAAATAAAAACATTGTAATATAGCTCTTATTAATTTGTTCGTCCATCTATTTTGTCATAAATCGTTGAGAATTATAAGTTAGATGGACGATCAAACAAAAATAATATGTGGACTAAATTATAATATTTTTATTTTTTTAAGGGACAATGTGAAAAAATTAATTATTTTGAGGTAAATTAAGAATTTTTATATTTTTTAGTGGGCAAAATGGGATTTACAAATATATAAAATGAGGAAATAATTTATTATTTGGACGGTTGGGATTGAGTGTTGATAAGGGAGTGGAGTCGAGTTTAACCGTTGGATGGGAAAGAGGGTTCGGAATACTCTGGAATTTTCTTCTCTTATGGTGGTCTTTGGTTTTGTATATGTTATTAAGGAACGAATCTGGATCGTTGACGATTGATCCAACGGCTGACGTTTACGTTCTAGATAGTTCCCAGAGAACTTGTTTTCTCGGTCCTTTTACGCTTTATTTATGCTCAACGGTCCAAAAAAGAGCACACCCGCAAGGCCCACTACACACACACACACACACACAGAAAAAAAACAAAATAAAAAACAAATTACATAGATCCTCTAATATATAAAAAATAATACTAAAATCTTTTTTATATTTGTGTGCGTGTAACACATAAACTCTTATCTGACAGATGCATGAAAATTCACATAGACTCCTATGTGATAGGTACATGAAAATTTACTTGTTTAACAACAAAAAATATTAATTATTTTTAAAAAAACGAGTCAAATAATTATAATATAGATAATACTTTGCGTTGAAAATAAATATTATATTAAATGTATAAAGTGTCTGAATTATATAATTATGTAAAAATGTGTTGTTAAATGTATATATATTTTGTAGGGTGACAAGTGGCTTTGTTTTAATAAAAAAGAAAAAATAAAAGTAAAAATAAGGGACAAGTGTCCATAATATGCCATCACCATTATTTGGTAAACTACTTTAGATTCCAATAAAGTTCCCGCACATTTGACTACAAAAGGCCTCTCGTATTGTGAAGTGCGTTTGGGCATAGTTTAGGGAATAAGATTGTGGCCCAGCATGATGGAATTGTTGGATTTGATTATGGTTTTGCAAAGTATAATTATTCGATATTAGTATGAATTTATATGTTCAAGCATTATTTCTCATATCACTAAGATAAATCAAATATGAAGTTATATATAATAGCAGTTGAGCTATGTGACATGTTGAAATTAATTATTGATTTTATTGTCCATGGTTGCCAATCGATTGAATTCTTTAGTATTTGATCAATCGTTTTTTTTATCATTGAGCATATTATTTTCTTTTATATTGTATATTTTTCTGTTTTTAATATTTTTCAAGATGATCGGAAAGGATATGACCAGAGTTAATATTTGAGGAATCGGAGATGGATGAATCTTGATATAATTTTTATAAAACTGATATTACAGGTTTCATTGGATATCAAATTAGAGTTTTGTCCCTATATTTGGAGATATATTTGTGATATATTGTAGTCGATTAATTAATTAACGCAACCAAAAATCTATGATGTTACAAATAATTACGGAATATTGAAGATAATTATAAATCAGAGGAAGACCCGTTTGATGAGGGATATTCAAGTCCCCTTTCAAGATTCTCATGCTCCTAACTAACTATTGAGGTAGACCGGAGTCCCCTCCCAAGAGGATTCTCAACCTCCTAACCAACTGATGAGGGAGATCATTGTCCTCTCTTATGAGGATTCTAAACCTTTTTAACCAATTGGTGGGGGAGACTAGAGACTAATATTAGGAGGATCCTAACTACTTATGCCTATAAATAAACTATATGGAAATACAAAGATGTACGTTACTCTTAGCTTTTAATAGCCTACATCCCCTTAGGTCCCTTCTTGACTTCAGTATTGGAGGCTCGACCCTTAGCGCTTTTCTGATCTCCAACTTCCTTTTTCATATGGGTGTCATAAAATGAACTAACATGGAGACATATAAATTTTTGCATCAACAAGTTCTATTTGTAAGTGTTGTGCATAAATGATTACTTTTGATCTCTCTAGATTCCAATTTACGAGTATGCCATTAGATGTTATCATCGTAGAGGGTGGGAAGAAGAAATTGTGGTGGGTGGTGGACAAATTTCAGAGGAAAAACGTATTTAAGGGAAAGACAGTGAGGTGGGGGTTGTGCAGGGGTTGTGCAGGTACAAGGGTAGAGGCAAGAAATCAATTCCAAGTGGACATTTAAACAAGTTTTTATTGTTTTTATCAACAACAAAGTAAGATGATACAGTTGTGTTCATTAGAATAATTTTATATGATAAAAAACATATATACACACAATTGTTATTCATTTTCTATTTTCTTTCTTTATAGATACTACATAAAAGAGAAATAGAGACGCATCACATCACATCCATATTAAATCAGTGGCCTACGGAAAGCTGTAGTTGGGTCAAACCATGGGTAGAATTGCTGCTCTCTATTTCCAAATCCCAGGTACCAGCTTGATTAGCGGCTCAATGCTCCCGAATAGGAATGCTGTCTTTGACTAGACATTTGAACTTGGAAAACAAAGAAAAGAAATAGTTTGCTTAGAGAGAAAAGAGTGATTAGCTGGTACAAAACACTAACAATTAAAACTAGTATCCTTATTCACACAAGAATTAACGCACGCTAGCTGATTACAACTAGACATTTTAACAATAAGGTTTGATAGTCAAGTGAACAATGATATGCATTTCAATTTTAAATGGTCAAGTCTCCAAGATAAGCAAAGTATGAGCCAACCCAAAAAACATAGGGATGAGAAAAGGTCAAACATGGTTAGGCATAGTTCAACATATTAAGAAGAGACAACTTTTTAAACTTTCTTGATACAAATTCCCGTACAAACAAAACTGTAATTACCGTCATAAGTTCTACATAACTTTCCACATCGAGCCATCAATTTACTAAGCAAGCTCATTCAATGGTCATATATTTTATTCTAGAGTACAATTCATTACAAAAATACTCAGTCACCTAGTTTAATTTTCCCTTAAGCAACCCAACTTTTTATTCATAGAACAAAAAGGTAATCAAAATATGTGTGTCAAATTAAACTAAAGAATTTGAATCATGTATTTTCTAGTAACTACAAAAAACTTTACCTTGTTAACATTAATTAACCCTATGTTAGAAATATAATGCATCGAGAAGCAATCCAATCAATTTAAAAGTCCTTAAACCTTTGACAGTAATGTTTTTCCTACAATTCCCTTCTATTAAACTCGAAACAATAGTTGTCAAATCCTGTGTTGCACGGCGTATGTAAATCCACCTCCATAAATGCATCATATCATTATAATGTTATTTCATAGTCTTCTATGTTGTTCCAAATTTGAGCTATTAACAATAATATCTCATTAAACTTAAACTCTCCTTATCTTATTGAGTTTTCTGCCTATTCCAGTGTTATCAGAATCGGACCGGACCTGTCGATCGAATTAGTTGAACCTTGAACTGAGACCTCAAACAGTTCAATTTTCTAGTTAGATCGCTTAAGGAATCAAACCTCTTAGGAAGCATGAAACCGATCGATTTTTGGACAAGAACCGTGAACTGGATAAATTTGTAAACTGGACGGTTGGAACCTTTAGCGTTAGGCGATGAACAACAACTCAGGCGAGAGATGACCACTTTGCTCGAACTCAAAGGTCAAGCGACCACTTTGCTTGAACTCGAAGCTCAGGATTTCATCTCTGTTATTTCTCTCTATCTCTTTGACTTTCTCTTTCACACACACATCACCATCGGCTACTGAATAGCCCTTCCTTTTTTTTTTTTTTCTGAACATGAACAGTNCCTTAAGCAACCCAACTTTTTATTCATAGAACAAAAAGGTAATCAAAATATGTGTGTCAAATTAAACTAAAGAATTTGAATCATGTATTTTCTAGTAACTACAAAAAACTTTACCTTGTTAACATTAATTAACCTTATGTTAGAAATATAATGCATCGAGAAGCAATCCAATCAATTTAAAAGTCCTTAAACCTTTGACAGTAATGTTTTTCCTACAATTCCCTTCTATTAAACTCGAAACAATAGTTGTCAAATCCTGTGTTGCACGGCATATGTAAATCCACCTCCATAAATGCATCATATCATTATAATGTTATTTCATAGTCTTCTATGTTGTTCCAAATTTGAGCTATTAACAATAATATCTCATTAAACTTAAACTCTCCTTATCTTATTGAGTTTTCTGCCTATTCCAGTGTTATCAGCATCGGATCGGACCTGTCGATCGAATTAGTCGAACCTTGAACTGAGACCTCAAACAGTTCAATTTTCTAGTTAGATCGCTTAAGGAATCAAACCGCTTAGGAAGCATGAAACCGGTCGATTTTTTGGACAAGAACCGTGAACTGGATAAATTTGTAAACTGGACGGTTGGAACCTTTAGCGTTAGGCGATAAACAACAACTCAGGCGAGAGATGGCCACTCTGCTCGAACTCAAAGGTCAAGCGACCACTCTGCTTGAACTCGAAGCTCAGGATTTCATCTCTGTTATTTCTCTCTATCTCTCTGACTTTCTCTTTCACACACACATCACCATCGGCTACTGAATAGCCCTTCCTTTTTTTCTTTTCCTTTTTTCTGAACATGAACAGTAGCCTTGATAGTTGATAGTGTTTTATGTCATTTTATTTGTTTCGAGAAGGCAAAAAGGCAAAGACTTGTCTCTTCCTAATTCCTATAGGCTATAAGTCTACAACAACTTGTATACAATGAAAATAATTTTTTAATGTCCTTTATTTTTATTACTCGTTATTATTTTACTTTTTTTTTGTTAGATAAGATTATGTGTTAATGGTATTAATTTTATAGTAAATTTTATGTATTATGAATATATTTTATATTTTTTTAGC